GTGATATTTTTAAAATTTCTAAAAGTGTTTATAACATATAACAATTATGAAAACTTGTAAATAACCATTAATTTAATTATTAAAATATAATAATATATTTTAAAATTAACTTTATTTAATATAAACGTTATTATTTATATTAAAGCTGTTTAATATGATATAAAACATAATATAATATTGAATCAAATGAAAGATGACATGAAAATATTTCTATTATTCGAAATATTAAAAATAAAAATATTTTGTAAACTGAATTATGTAATGAATAGGATAAAAAGGAAATAAATTAATGGAACATCAGCTAATAGATTCCATTACGTACTTTTCTATTATTGACAAAGATACAATGAAAAATTTCTTTATATTATAACTATGCTAAAGAGAGTTAAGAAAAAAAGTATTCTTCTTATCTCAAATAATTAAACTCTTGCTGTAATTCCTTATCTTCTTTTTATCAAAAGTAATTCAGTTCAATTCAAATTTTTCAATTATCTTGCTTCAAGACTCTGAAATAAACTGTTGTTATAATTCTGTTAAAATTTGAAATTCTATCTAAAACTTTTTCTACTTCAGTGATTAAAGTGATTATATAATTTCTAAACTTCTTCATCTGAATATATTGTGTAGTTGAACTTTTTTATATATTCATGACATATATATATTCTTGTTAATACTTATTGTCAAGAATAAGCTCATATTTGCTATTTTATAATAAATATTAGCTAATTTTCTACAACAATTATGGAAATCAATTAGGTTTAATATATTTTTTCTCAACTTTTCAATTGAATCTCTCTAATCTTATACAGTACTATCTTGTTTTATACTATAATCTTTGTATCATCAGATGGAAGATATTGCGCTTATACAATTCTATAAAATTAACTTTTTTTATTTTATAACAAAGAAAATTTGATTTTCTTTATATGTTAGGTAAGTTACATAATAGGAAACATTTAAATATAAATATTTTTATCACTATAATATTATTAACTTGAAGAATTTAAATACTGTTTATATCTTTGATCTGTAATAGAATTTTATAGAGTCAGGTAGCTTTTTACATTATATTTATTGAATATACCACAGAATATGAATTACGAAAGTGCGGGAAAGTTACATTGAATACATAAAAATGATGTTTATTTATCCTCAAAATTTAAATATGTTTATAAAATAAGATCCACATCTGACAATATTTTGTATAAATGCATTATATCTTTTCTGCAAAATATATTAAATAACTGTTTTCCATAAAGCAAAAATATTACAAATGTAAACATGTTGCTGTTGAAAAATATTTTTCAATTATAATTTATATCGATTTATTTTCTTGGAGAGTCTGCTATTAAAATGAATATTCATTAATGTTTAAATTTTATAAATAAGCAAATAGACTTTAAATGGGGTATTATTTTTCTGCAATGAATATTTATAGTTCGTTTAGATCCTATTCAATAAATAATCAACAATAATAGGTTAATTTAACATTTTATATCGAGATCTGATTAAATGAAAACTTAATAAAATTCCTATATAATTTTTTATAAGAGGGTACTGATTAATTTAAAAATAAAACATAAATATATGTATTTAAATTAATATTGATGTAGAATTGTTACATGGTAAAGAAATTAATAACAAAAAATGAGTATAAGTAAAATGAAGAATGGTATGTTTGATGAATGTCATGCAAAGAAGAGAATAAATTATTCCAGAATGAATAGGGATAATTCTATAAAAGAAGTTATGAAAAAAGTAAAATAATAATGCTAGATATGTTTGAAAAATATCAGAGACAGTTCTAGTAAAGATGGTAGACAAAATATAGATAGGGTGGCCAAAGAGAAAGCGAGTGATACTATCAAGCGTGACCTAGAATGTGGAATGAAATGGCTAGGATAAAAAGAAGTGATTGTAAAGATATAGTTGCTTACCTCAAATAAATGGAAAAAGATGCATAGAAAAAGATAACATATCTGAAAAATTTACTGTCATTTTTCATTATTACAATAATTGATATAAAGGAGAACGAACCATTATTTGAGGTTCAAGTGGTATTATATGATGATTGAGTGTTTTTATGAAATTAATTAGTATATAAATAGTGGGATCTGAGATTTATGTGTTTATTACACATAAAACCTTACTATTCTTAAAAGTTTGCATGTTTCTGAAAATATTTCAATTTAGAGGCCATGATTAATTAAATATGTCACCTCTGAGCAAAGATTTATATACTAAAGTGCAAAATACCCTTTGTTAGAGAATGAGATATGTCAGATTTTTTAAAAGTTAGATGATTGAAAATACAAATTAACATTAACTAACTATTAGCTTTGCTTGAAGCCATTCAAATGAAAAAAATATATTAGGTTTTGAAAATCTTATCTAATTTGAAATGTTTGAAAAGAGTCAAAAACTTAATTAGACTTTTTGCTTATATTGATCTGTTTTCCAAGGGACGAAGTTTAATCCTTTTAAAGTTAGTTTACGCTAAAGAAAATTATGGATAATTTAATAATAAATGAGATCCAATTCGTTGGTGATAACCATTAACTATGTACATCAACAAACAATTGGGCTGTCATTTATTGTGAAATTATTCATTTGTAACTGTGATTAACTAATACAAGGAATTGTTAAATTTATTTACTCCGTAATAAACCAGCCATAACTTAAATATAACATTTTGTAATTACTGTAATTTAATTGAATTTTAATAATTAAGTTTAATTTAATGGCGTTTTATAGAGTAAAAACTTGGCAATTGATTGTAGTTACAGTCTAATTGATTACCAATATAGATTTTATAATCGATACATTACACTATATCCAATAATATTAAAAATTTTCTAAACACAGTAGGCCTATATCTGTGCCTAATTTTTAAGATAATTCTACTTACGAAAATATAATTTAAAGTTTATAAGTTTTATTCTGTAAAGACAATACAATTTATTAAATGATTTAAAATAAATCTTCTTGTTTATTTGTTTCTAAAAAGTAAAAAATAAGTAAAGAATATATTGCAAAGATAATAATAGCATTCCTAAATCCTGCTTATCTAAACAATAATATCCAAAATCTCAGGATATAAGGTATAAAGGATAGGCCTATGCCGAGAAAATTTCAAAACTACAAAATCCTTCTGGATTTTCTGTCTTTAAACACAAAGATATTTCTGTAAATCCATCAGAAATAACTTACGAATATTCTTTTGAACCGTTATCTTCAAGGTAAAGATGCTTTAAACTACATTAAAAACATGAATTCTACATACTAATAATCGAAAATTTGTATACATTAAAAAGTAAAAAAGATATAATTTTGAGAAAATTTAAAGCAAGAAAATTACTAATTTTAAATACAATTAAGTTTTTTATAATCCTCTATTAAATTTTTACAGAAACGTCTACAAAATTTAACTCTCCTACTGTATAGGTCCTACAGCTGACTTGTAATTATCTTAAACGATTTTAATTCATTTTAGTAAATAAATGCAATGATTATTTTTATTCCAGAAAAAAGCGCAATGATAATCTATTCTCAACTTCTTTATGTTTATTTAATATATGTTTGTTTTTCCTTAAAAAGTAGTACTTAAAACATAATCATTATGGTAAAACTAAGTCCTACTTTATGCTTATAAATCAATTTCAATCATAAATCATATTCTGAGAAATGACTATAAAAGATTTTTCATATCATAAATGTTGTTAGTATCATAAATTATTTTCGAAACCAAGATATTTCGAATAAATTATTATCGATTGATTAGAAAAACAAATTCTTTATTTTGAAGTTTTGATGGTGAAATTCTAAAGTTTTGTGGACAACTCTAAAAACTTCATTTAAAATTTTTTAAAATGAAGTTTTTAGAGTTGTAAATATATTTAAACAAAGAAAAGATTTAATTTTCAAAAATTCTTTATAAGATAGTAAACTGCTTAATATATTTACTATTAATTGTTTAATTGTATTCAATACTGTTACTGATTTAGTACTGTTGCTGATCTTATATAAATATAGATAAGTAGAAACATATAAAAATAATAATATTTAGAATTAAATTTTAAAAAATAAAAATAAAATATTTTTAAAAAATGTTTTAAAAAATTATAGGAATTTATTAATATATTAAATT